ATCTACTCCCCCCGGGGCGGGCTGGGGGGCTACAGACCCCCAGAAAGGGGATCGAGGTGCTTCTGCATGACAGTTGGTGACCCCCAAGTCTGGGGGAACAAAGACAGGGATCACTTATGGGGTGCCCAGATATGTGTGGGGGGTTTCCACTCTTCCCCCCCCAACCCTGCACCCCAGGAGGGAGATTCACAGCAAAACAAACCACACAGTCTTGGGCCCCCTGCACCCGAGCAGCACCCGGCCCCATGGAAAAGGGGGGGCCTGGGGAGTCGGGGGGGTCTAGGTGGCTTTGTAGAGATCCTTGCGCCTCCGCACCTCCTTGAGGACGCGGGCGCGGAAGGCGTCGGGGTGCTCCCCTCCGCCCTGCCGCAGCCCCAGCGCTGCCTGCAGCTCCGGCCGGTGGGTCCGCAGGAAGGGGTTGTAGGTCTGCTCTTCCCCCAGCGTGGAGGGGCACTGCGGGGGCAGCCGCTCAGCCCCCGCCGGAGGCAGCACCCCCGGCGGGGGGCCGGGACCCCCCCAGAACCCCCCCCCCTCCGCCCCCCGCCGTGCAAGAGGGTGTCGGGGTGCAGTATCCCCGCCGAGGGATGGGGAACCCTGCGAGGGGCTGGGGTGGGGGGGGGCTGCAGCCAGGGGATCCCCCCCGGCCTCACCGTGCTCCTCTTCTCCTGGCGCTGCTGTGTCGCCCACTGCAGCTTCTGCTCCAGCGCGGGGTTGTCCAGCTCCAGGAGGCTGGCGAAGGTCAGGCACTCCAGCGCGTACTCGTGGCCTGCAGACCCCCGTACCCCTTAGCATCGCCCCTGCCCGGCTCCCCAGCTCGGCAGCGGGGGCTAGGGGGGACAGCGGTGGCCCTGCCCTGCTGTTGAGGACACTCACCCGGCCACAGCAGTGTGTCCTCGCCCAAGCCCACGGCCACATCCAGGGAGGCGAGCATGGTCTCAGGGGAGCCCTCAAACAGCCTGCCTGGAACCCACGCAACCACCTGTCATGGGAGGGATTGGGGGGTCCCCCCAAGCCCTTCCCAGGGTGGGACCCCCCCACCAGCCTCCCAGGTCTGTGGTTGGGTGCACTCACCGCAGCCAGCGAGGAAGAGGAGGTCCCCGGAGAAGAGGCAGGGGGGGCCGCCAAACGGCCGCCCGTCCAGCACGTATACCATATGGCCCACGGTGTGGCCAGGTGTGGCGAGCGCCTCGAAGGTCAGGCAGCCCACGCTCACCTTCTCCCTGTCCGCAAGCGGGCTGTGCCGGGCAGAGGGGTGCACCGTCAGGGTGCCCCCTCCCGCCCCAGCACCCCAAAACACCCACCTCCCCATGCAACCCTTCCCCGGTGCACCGGTGTCACGAGCATGCCAGGTCTGTGCCCACAAAGGGGGCAACCTGGTACTTGGGGGATGGACTGTGGGTGGGTGGAGCAGACAGTGGTGGCTGGGGGTGAAGACCCCTCCCAAATTTGCAGGGGTGCTGCGGGAGGGGATGCAGGGCGCAAGACTTACTTGGTGAGCTCTGGGATGGCATCGAGGGTGCTGCCGTACACCTTGCAGGAGCTGTGCTGCTGGCGGAGCGCTGCGTTCCCCCCACTGTGGTCCCTGCGGACAGGAAGGTCAGCGCCCCTAAATGTGTCCCCCCCATATCCCCCCCCCCGCCCCTGTGGGGTAGGGCTGGGGGTCGCCTCAGCTGGGGCACCCTCCACGGCAGCCACCGACCCCCCCAGGGCCCCTTCTTTCTCCCTACCAGTGTTTGTGGGTGCAGAATATGGCCTCCAGCATCACCCTCTCTTCTTCAACGGCAGCCTGGGAATGGGGGGACAGAGAGATTTGGGGGGGACACAGAACCTGAATACCAGTCTCCCTTTAAATGTGCGCCCCCCCCCAGCTCTCCAGATGCAGAATGAGCCCTGCCACCCTCCAACCTTGCCCCGGGCACTAAGGGCTGCAGATTAGGGGCAGATTTGCCCCCCACTGCCCCTCCAAAAAAGCCAGAGAGGTGCCACCCCCTCACCCGGGGACACCCGAATACTGGGTCGGGGGGGTGCAGGGGTCTCACCTGCACGGCCAGCGGGTCAGAGGGGTCAACGACGGCCGCCCGGCCGGAGCCAGTATCGATGACCAGGTAGCTGTAGTTGTTGGAGAGCACGGGAATGGGCAGGATTTTCACCCCTTTGGGGGGGATGGACAGACAGACAGAGATCAGGGCATGACCCCCCCGCCCAGGAAAGGGAGGGGGACCAGGCCAAACTCCCCACATATTAAATCAAATTCTCAGTTCAACATGCTTCAGGCAATTTGGCAACAGCAACCCCTCCCCACCCCAAAGTGCCAGTGCTGGGGACACTGTGGGGGCCACGGCGGGGGGGCTCGCCAGGACTCACCGGGGAAGCGGCAGGGCTGGGGCGCGGAGTGGCCGTGCGGGTACCGCTCCCGGGCCTTCTTCACCTGCCGCTGGTAGAAGAGGTAGCCCAGCCGCGTGTGGGGGTACAGGCTGTACCTGGGGAGGGCAGACACCCCGCGGCGTTAACCCCCAGCCCCCCAAGGAGCCCACTTGGGGAGGGGGCTGCTGCCAGGGCCGGGACCCCCATGGGGGACACATACAGGGGCAGTTTCCCACGCATGGGGGCTGGAGGTGGCATCGTCGCCCCCCTCCCCTGCCCCGATCTGCAGCGAGAGCAGAATCGGTTCCCCAGGCAGCAAGGACCAGGGGGGGTTGGGACGGACAGGACACGACATGACAGATCGCTGAGGGGGTGTCCGTCTGTCTGTCCAGGAGGGCTCTGCTCACCGGGAAGGGCTGGAGCCCCAGGGCTTTGCCCGCAGCAGCCCTCTGGCTGCCTGGTGTCCCCGGCCTTTTCCCCCCACCCCGGGGGGGCCGTGCCCAGGGCTGACCCCGCTCCGAGGGCCTGCCCGGGTGCCACGGCCCCGGGGAAGAGGGAAGCGGGAGCAGGACGGGCCGAGGAAAGGGGAAGCGAGAAACGCTCCCGCGGCGTGTCCCACCCAGGGGTGCGAGGGGCACAGCCTGGGGGGCTCGGGGGACCCCTCCATTTATACAGCAGCGTTTTGGGGCTGGGGACCGGTGCCCTGAAGGATGTGCAAAGCCCCGGGCTGCACAGCCCGTCCCCGGGCCGAGGGCGTCCCCCCGGATGGCTACAAACTCCGTGCCGGCACCGGCAGGGCCACCGGGGGCACCGGCAGGGCCACCGGGGAGGGATCCTGGCAGGAGCCGGGGGTGCCCTGCATCTGCGGGGGGTGGGAGCCCGAAGCCGGGAGCGGGGGCTCCTGCCAGCACCGGGGCCACGGTGGGGGCAGGGGGGG